CTAAGAAAAGAAAAAGAAGAATCAGGAGAGGATTTACTACTTAAATTTTTTATCATAATTAATTTTAATTTATTTTTTTCTTATTGTTGATAAAGATACAATTGGCATAACCTTTTCCTTTGTTAACAGTAGCCAGAGATGTAAACAAGCTATAGTCCCAATCACCTCCTCTTTTGAGCTCGAGCTTGCTTTCTTAATCGAGTTCATACTTGAACTTGAGCTTATTCGAATTAGCTCATGAGCCAACGCATTCATCTCGAGAGAGAAAAAATATTTTTAATACTTGAAATGGATGTAATGAAATAATAATATAAAAAAATCATATATTTAATTAGAATAAATTTTGAAAAAAAAATTAATATCATTGCACTTAAGTTTTTGTAGTTTAATATATTTTAAGTGTATGGCATAATAACACACACACATATATATATATATATATATATATAATGGGTTGATTCATGATGTAATAATTCAATTGATTTTTACATGATGATAAATTAATTTTGTTGTTGTTTATGGACGAGACATTTGAATCACAGATGATTTTTTTTTAAAATGATTGCATTAAAGTGTGTTCACATGTCAAAGAGTGGGTATGGAGTCATGGTCATATTTCCTTAATTGATGTGGAAGCAATGAGTTTGGATGGGGATAGGGAGCCATAATTATGTTTCCTTAATTGTAATTTTATAATTAATAAAATGAAATATTAAATCATTTTAAATGCACAAATTTGCATCATTTTTATGAAAGGTTCAAAATATAAAATGTAATTAAAGAATATAAATCTATTCTATATTTTTACAAAGTAGGATAAGACTAATAAATGTATGAAGTAGGCATGAGGCCACTGACAAATATATGATATGATATTAAATTTAGATGAATATAGGAAAGTTCATCATAATTGTGCATACGAAAATTGATGTCTAACACCTTAATATGTGAAATCATTAAATATCATTAATAAATATTATTCATTAGGATTAGCCATCTAGATTAATACATACTTTGTGAAACATTAAAGAAAATTAAGACATGCATATAAATAATCTAGCATGCATATAGATATTAAGACATTCATTAGGATTAGCCATCTAGATTAATGATTAAAACATACTTTGTGAAACATTAAAGAAAATTATTATTTATTTATTATAACTTATTATTACATTACAAAAACTGGATAGTGCATATTTTTTTGTCTTATTGTTGCACAAAAATCTACATACATAATTAAAAGAAGCTCGCAAATAAGTAAAATAATGTAGGATCGCTACATACAAAACTTACGAAAACAATATATGTATGGTCTAAACCAGTTGAATCAATCTATTATATGGATGAAAATTTACTTTAGTCTATCATTCTTTCAAACTCAAGAAAATGGCATTAGAACATTTGGATAATCTACTTGGACGCTTGTTAATAGGATCAATAGAATGATAAAGAATAGCGAAGAATGTCAAAAATCAATGTCTATCTATAGCTAAATAAAAGTTAGTAATAGCTTTTATTAATGGTTGCAACAATAATTACAAAATAATTATTGCTTGATGATGAACAAATAAATCGTAGTAAGGTAAATATGGTTGCGTGATGATTCTCAAGAGACATCGATCAACAAACAGTACTTAGAAGTTGACGTGCTCTAAAAATTTTAAATTTTTGAGCTCTCATTGATTTTCAAATCCCATTCATTTCAAAATAGAAGTTTATTTATAATTTTATTGAGTGATATTTTGATTATATATTCTAGTTTCTCAAGTACTCTATTAGTCGACTCTGCTTTATCAGTTTAAGCATGTTAACAACCATGAAATTGAGTGATACTAGTTAGGCTCATTGAATTCATTTCATCATGACTTGACGGATAAAGAAGTAATATTGAGAAATTATTTTTTTTGTTAAGCAATGCAATGAAGCTTCTAGTTAATTTTGGATAATTTGGACTAGAGCAGTGTAATTTTGTTATTAATAGATTCATACCATCAAAAAAATTGCTTGGATTTTAAACTTGTTGAATACATTACTTGGACAAACAATTGCATGGAATTTAAGTTTGTTGAATACATTACTTACATGATCCTTAAGGCGATTGTAAACATTTTCCTCTGCATACCTGCATCAAAATCTATGCTTAATTAATATTTTATCTAGTGATGTTTGCTTATCATGATCCAATTTACTCAAATGTCATTTAAATTTCTTCTGACCATTTTGATATAATGCATTATAAAAATTAACTCTTAAATTATACTCATCACTAAATGTATTTAAAATTGGGGGACCTGTCTGATTTCGATTGTCCTCTTCACCTAAACATTGTTGATCTCTTCTTGATCCCAGTCAACTTTTTTTTTTTTGTTGATCATAGACAAATTTTTTCTATCTTGTCAACTTCTTCATTAGATCTTGTTCATCTGAAATCAATAATAAAATTGATAAAATATTAGATGTTGTAAATATCAAATTTTAAATACTAATGTTGAATTCATTTAGGACGTGGGGTCTCGTATTGTTCTTTGGTTCATATAAATCGAAAGTTACTTGTGTAAGGAGGAGACAGAAAGAATAGTGAGGATATCTTCCAGACTCAAACTCTCAATCCCTATGGTGAGCACTTCTTTCCAATTAGAGAGAGAGGGAGAGAGATGGGCTGAAGGAGGAAAAAGAGGGGGATGGAGAGAATGAGTGAGAAAGTGCCCCATAGGTGGGAAGACACATCAATTTATACGCCACATAGATGGTCTTATTTACATGAAAGAGAGATTATGTAATTATGAAACATATAGTCTGGATATTCTCCCTGATCTCTTGATAGAAAATGATGGTGTGGATGTCATCCCGCTCATAAATGGTTGTTAGTGTTCGTTAAACTTTTCATACTATCAACTTCAGTCATTTATCTTTTTTGATGATCACCAATTGAGCAAACTAATTTGACTAGTTCGAGGAGAGCGTCTCGAATCCTAGAGAAGTCATAGATGACACTTCAACAATAATAGTTGTATTGATAAATCACTTCTTTAGATCAACCCGAAAGGTTCATTTAATGGGCCAATCTTGTAAGCTAGTTCACCAGACGATCATTGTTTGCTTGCAAGCTAAAAGGATGCGTGGATCGTACTTAATGATGGGCTATAAATAATGTGATCCCACTTGACCCATTGGCCACAAATTGGGTGAAGGAAGCCCAATTACCGTTTTGTTGGCCCATAGCGACTGATTATTCATATACAATTAATTATGTAAATAATAATATTTGAATAATGTATGCAACTTCCCTTCACAAATTTTAAAAAGCCTTATAATCAAATTTTAATCAATATATTTGATACATGATTAACAAAATTTATTATTTGGCATGAAATCTGAGACGATTTAGCACGAATCTCAGAGAATTTTGGACATGAATTGTTCAAACTACAAGAAAAAATTATTGAGAACTTTGATTTAAACAAACTTATAGTTAAACTGTTTGGCTTGATGAAATGAACATAATAACACAAAAATTTATCTAATCTGAGTCAAATCAATCCTAAATCAAGCCATTGAACTACATTTGGAAGCTTTGGCTGGCTAATTGAAAGATCATATCGATTACATATCCATGAGCTTAAAGTCGTATCGAGCGTCTGGCTGAGACGAATCCAGTGAGCCTAAGGGCACTCAATTGTGATATCATAAAGATATTTTAATGTTCAGCAAATGTTGTCCAATGGAGAGAGTCTCTCTGGGCTTTTTGATGGAGCGGTCTTGATTCCTTATTTATAGGTAGGCCTCTCCTATGCTCTATAAGTAAAGACCCGCCCCACCCACTTAATAATAAGGGAATTAGGCCTTAAATCGAAAGAAGAGTTGGACCTGGAGCTAGTTTGCAAATAAGTTAAATTCTAATGTCTTTTCGAACCGAAGATCGGTGAATGTTTTCCGCTCCTGCAGCCTTCGACCACTGTCGGTTGACACTTGGTTATTGAAGAGAAGTTCCATGCGAAGTCTAAGACATAAGTTGCGTAGTAACCACTAACATCGTGAAGTAATGAAGCACTGTATTGAGTAACCGCCAACGACACAAAGTCACAAAACTTCATTCAAAATAATTTATTAACTTGAGCACGGTGCAATGATGCCCCTCAAAGATTATATATTGAACCCCTGTAACTACTCCCAACCGTGATAGCTCTCGTCTGCTCTGAACATTGTACTTTGAGGAATTGTGTAACTCTTTCTCGCCTGCGGGTCAACAACTTGAGCGTATAATTGCTAACTCATGGCGGTTCATTTCAGCTGGGCTAGGTCCCGTAATTTTTTCCCTTTCTAAATTTTCACGTAAAATTTTTGATGTTTCTACCGGCCACTAATTACTTGAGCGTGTGACGAACTTTTGTACAACGCTCAGATGCTAATAATCACTTTAACACCGTGAATATTTAGCATGTATCAATATTCTCAGCCAACTTTTCCTTCAAAGGGTATCACTTGAATTTATCAAGCTAACAACCCAGCCATAACAATCATAATTGTAATGTTTTCCTTTGGCTAAATATTATTTTTTTGGGCCATTTACATACATACCACCCAATTCTCATGTTTTCACATATCTGACGCTTAACTTTATATTTATATCACGCAAATCTTTTTTTATTTCATCAAAAACAACTACAATTAACTTCTAAAAGCGAAATTTACATTTCATGCTTCATATAAAGTGCTATCTACACAAAAATTAAAGTCTGCGTGTTATTTATAAATAAATAAGAATTCGGTGATATATATATATATATATATATATATATCTTTCTTTTGCATTTTCCAATAAATTACTAGTTTAAAATAGTATAATAGTAAATGTTACAGCTGAATATTTACAAAAATACCACTAAACCTTTGAAATAAAAGCATTTCCCAATCTAAAGCATAATAAAATATAATTGGTGGACCCAACATCCGACCTTCATGAATCCGCTTTAATATATCTAATCCGACCTCCCAATTATTAACCTGGAATCCGAGGGAATTCCGTATTCGCGCGTGAACCGACCCCACCAGATCTCCCTTCCTCCTCTGATCCCATCTTCTCCTACAAAAGGCCCCCTCCCCCCCGCCTCCCCTACCAGCCCGAGCAGAGCCATGATCGACACTGATCGCCGGATTTCAGCACTAACACCCGCCGCACATGCCGCCGCCCTTCGCCGTTTCTCCACTCGCGCCGCCTCCTCCACCACAATCCCCGCCCCGACCTCCTTAGCCGCCTGCACCTCCCTCACCCCTCAGGCCGAATTCATCCTCTCCCACCTTCGCTCCATCGGCGTCCACATCCTCCCCGGCTTATCTCCTTCCGAGCTCACCCGAGCGGAGGCGGAGTTCGGCTTCTCCTTCCCGCCGGATTTCCGAGCTCTCCTCTCCCTCGGTCTCCCGTTCGGTCCCGGGTTCAGCGACTGGCGATCCATATCTCAACTTCGCTCCCTTCTCGATCTCCCTGCTGCATCCATCTCCTTCCAGATTGCATTCCCCCGACGCCATTCATTCTGGCCTAAATCGTCTTGGGGCCCCCGTCCAAACGATCCCGAAGAAGCCCTCCGGTTTGCTCGCTCCGCTCTTCGCCGCGCACCTCTCCTTCTCCCTGTTTTCAACCGATGCTATCTTCCCTGCCTCCCTGCACTCGCCGGAAACCCCCTTTTTCTCGTCGACGACTCCCGCGTCTCCATCTGCGCGCTTGATCTCTCTGATTTCTTTCTCTCCAGCTTTTCCCCCTCCGTGCGTCTCCAGCGGCAGTTATCTACGGCCAATCCTCGAGCCCCATTTCTCCTCGATTACACCTCGCGCCGATCCCTAGACTCGGCAGCAAGAACCCCTCGATGGATCGAGTTCTGGACCGAAGCCGCCTCCTTCGATCGCCGTCAAAGGAACTCCTCATCCTTTTCATCCACGGAGCAAATCGTAGAAATCACGCAGCAGAGGATGTCGCCGCCGGCTTGGGTTGGGAGGTATTTAGATCGGATAGGGGAAATGCTGAGGAATGGAGGGTGGAGGGAGAACGATGTTGTCGAGATGGTGGAGGTTGCCGCATCAGGGTTCTTTGATAACACCCGCGGCGGCGAAAACGACGCGATAGCCGTGGATGGGGAGGTGTTTCTGGATGCTCTGCTTCTGGAAGCTAATCGGTGCGGAGATTCGCTCCGTCGTGCTGGGTGGAGCTCGGAGGAGGTTTCTGATGCGCTGGGAATGGATTTCCGGCGAACAGGAAGAAGATGCCGGAAGGCCGTGCGGCTTCCAAAGAGTATTGCGGCCAAGATCGAGAAGCTCGCCGACGCGGTCTCCCGCACGTCCTAATTTGTTGAACCTTTAAAAGCGAAAAATGTGTGTTAAACTTAGATGTTTGTATTCTATATAGTAAAAACAAAATTAATGATAGTATTATAAATGAGCTTAGCAAATCAAACATGTTTCTTTTTCTTAGACAGAAAATTTACAAGAATATCTAACAAATTCTTGGTTTTATATTAAAACGTAAATAAAGCAAATATAAATTGAATTAAATTCAAAATAAAAAATAATACCATTTATGCACAGTTATTTATCCCTAACACCCTCGATCTCGGCAACTCCAGCGGCCCCATCTAGTTCATGTCCCATATTTCTTCTATCTCATCCCCATTTTCGACCATTTGCTCGTCTGCCGCCGCCATGGGGAGAACAATCTTTATTTTTGAAGATGTGTAAAATCACAAAATGTTTTTTTTTTTCTATTTTTTCATATATTGTATAAGAAAATGTATTGAGGAGAATGTTGGGTGTGGTGCAAAATTATTTAATTGCCTAAATTATTGTTAGATCCTATATTGTCCTTTGCAATAATGCCCCAAGAGTTTAGGATTTAGTGAAAGAATGAGGAGCGAAACAGAGTATAACAAGTAAGCAGTTTTTTTTGTAGACAGAGTTGATGAAAAGTCGTTTTAATTGTATTTTTGTCTTCTATTTATATAGACATATTTTGTACAAAAACATAAGGGAGAGAACGGTTATGAAAACCGCTCT